GCATAAAAATGTTTAACTAAAAATTCAGTGTATGTATTATGATTATAACATAATATACTAATTGGGGTGTCTGAGGGTGTGCGTTAATTACGTTACATATTATATATATATATATATATATATATATATATATATATATATATATATATATATATATATTGTAGTGTTATGCTTACATACATACTTACATATCATTTTACACTATTTTATTTTTATTTTTCCATTCTGTTTTTGATTTTCTACATTCACCTCAAAACTGGATATTTTGCATCACCTTTATTTCCATAGGATCCTGTAATATTTTTAATTCATAAGAACACAATAACAAATCATTTTCACTTCGTATTTTCACGTTATCAGCACTTTTTAAATCGGTGTCAATGGAGTCTACCTTTTTCGATCTTTTATTTAGTTCTCCGTAACTCTACAATTTCGGGTTTCGTGCGCGCTCTTGCGCTACCTTTTTTCCTATATAAATAATATCTCATTTTTCACTTAAATCTTGCCGTTTCTGTATTACGAGCTTAAAACCAAAATTTGACATGTTTTGACATCGTTGTTTATCTGGTTGTCGTGGCAATTTTTATTCAAATATTGTTACCGGCCTGATGTTTTTACTTCAAAAATACTCTTTTCTTCTTGGCCATTTACAAAAATTTGCTTTTAATTTAAATAATTTCAAATAATTTCTCGTTCTTATCCCAGATCCGTCAAAAAGTATAAAAGCCGAAGAATCGGCCGATAGAGGGCCCCACGTTGGGCGCCAAATTGTCGTAAATGTTTAATTATAACAATGAAAAGGGTTATTAAGTACGAATTCCTTAACAAGGCCGAACTCGAATACGAAGTGAAGATTAGATGTGAGGAACCAGCTAATACTGTTTTGCATGACACTACATTTGTATATATGTTTGTATATTTGTATATAAGTTTGTACATATGTATAAATATCTATTTCAGACACATCTCGTTAGTGATGTTGCTGATCTCTGGCTTTGAGCCCTACCGCTCTGGCCGTTCTTAATCTTTACTTAAGTCATAGCGACTAAAGCTTGCTTAAGATTAATTTCTTTAACTTTATCTTCACTCAGGAGCGGATGACAACTCCTTAAATAAGCCTGGATGTCCTTTAAAATGTTTTTTTTTCCACGCAGGAGCGGATGACTACTCCTTAAATAAGCCTGAATGTCCTTTCGAAAACACACTTTTAGAGTGGTAGTCATTGAATGTGAACTCCACCCTTACCTGAATGCAGATGATGAATGTAAGAGATAGTATATCTGATATTGCCTGGTGATGTCTGTTACTGCAAAGCTGTGTTTTTATGGTTTATTTTGGAATGTACATCTCAAAATTTTTGCTGAGTCAAAAATTTTCCAGGGTCGGGGGGAAAATGTAGTGTTATGCTTACATACATACTTACATATCATTTTACACTATTTTATTTTTATTTTTCCATTCTGTTTTTGATTTTCTACATTCACCTCAAAACTGGATATTTTGCATCACCTTTATTTCCATAGGATCCTGTAATATTTTTTAATTCATAAGAACACAATAACAAATCATTTTCACTTCGTATTTTCACGTTATCAGCACTTTTTAAATCGGTGTCAATGGAGTCTACCTTTTTCGATCTTTTATTTAGTTCTCCGTAACTCTACAATTTCGGGTTTCGTGCGCGCTCTTGCGCTACCTTTTTTCCTATATAAATAATATCTCATTTTTCACTTAAATCTTGCCGTTTCTGTATTACGAGCTTAAAACCAAAATTTGACATGTTTTGACATCGTTGTTTATCTGGTTGTCGTGGCAATTTTTATTCAAATATTGTTACCGGCCTGATGTTTTTACTTCAAAAATACTCTTTTCTTCTTGGCCATTTACAAAAATTTGCTTTTAATTTAAATAATTTCAAATAATTTCTCGTTCTTATCCCAGATCCGTCAAAAAGTATAAAAGCCGAAGAATCGGCCGATAGAGGCCTCACTTCAGCTTTGATACGAGAAGCACCTCTTAAAGGCTTTATCCGCACTGCCTCGGGATCTTGCAAGCTTTCTCCTGAAGTCGTCGCCTAGCCACGCCTACGCCTCCACCTATTAGTGCCCGCGCTATCTTCGGCCGCTGAGCGTGCTTGTCTCAAGCGCTGCGTGTTCCTACTCCAGACGCTGCGTGTCTACTCCGGACGCTGTGTGTGTCTACTCCGGACGTTGTGTTTGCCTACTTCAAGCGCCACGTGTACCTACTCCAGACGCTGCGTGTCTACTCCGGGTGCTGCGTGTATCTGCTCCGGGCGTTGCGTGTGCCTACTCCAAGCGCTGCGTGTACCTTCTCCAGACGCTGCATGTGCTTTCTCCAGATTCTGCGTGTACCTAGAGCAGGCGCTGCGCACCTATCATAGGCATAGCCTGTGCATACTTCGTTGCAGTATCTTTATTTTTGTTATTTTTTTTAATAATATTGTAAATCACTATCATCATTACAGCCCATCATCACCTTCATACCTTTTTTTTTATAAAAGAAACTGTAAATCTTTTCAAATTTTTAAATAATTTATTTTATTTTTGGTTGTTTTGTTGTAGTTAGGTTAGGTTATTTAGTTTTTAATTGTCGCTTTACGACAATATATATACATATATATATATATATACATATATATATATACACAAATATATATATATATATATATATATACACATATTCAACAAAGCTCGTAAATAACATGGTATTGAGAATCATTTTTCACTCTTACTACTTGAAGGGGCTTTGAGATAATCCTTGGCGGGTTTTAAATATAATACCTTCAATTATTTTACATGAACTGTATGAAGTTGATTGACACACACTGACACAATAGCTATCTCGCTGACAATAGTTCAATGGGGAGTGAAGTCCTGACACATTTGTCGCCTCCTTCGTACCCATATATCTACGCATACATCCGATGAGCATGTAAGGGGTACTCTTAATTTGGCCCATCTTCAGTATGGTATTGCTATATTGACATCCAACTCTAAGCTATGTTCAAAATTCCATCAGGGAAATTCAAACTTATCGGGAAATTCTCGAAATTTGAGTCTGCACCCGCAACGACAGACCGACAGAGAAACGAGAAAGTGACTTAATAAAAATGGGGTAAAATTAGCACGAATCATCTTCTCTTAGTGTATAAAATTGTGATTTCGGTGCAATTAAATAATTTATTTTTAACAACCATGAGTAGAATAGAATAATTTTTATTCAATATAGATTACAAATAATTCTTATTGAAAGTCAATTTTTTACTTTACCATTGGTTCGAAAAAAAAAACCTCTGTCCTAGGGACTTTTTAAAAAAAATTACAATGTCAATCGTCACAAAATATTTACAAAATTTATTTTAGAAACAGCTTGGTAGCGACTACCACATTCCCAAGGTTTATTATCTACCATGTATTCTTATATCATAATAACCCTTTTTATACAGTTTTTGCTTAATTAAATATTTAAACTTGGTAATAGAGAGACCTTGTACATTTTCTGGGACTTTGTTGTAATAGCGTATACATGAATGAATTACTGACTCGGTGGAGTCGAGAAACTGGTATTACCAGCTTGTGTTTGTTCCTAGTGTTTACAGAGTGTATATCACTTTTTTTTACTAAAACTACCTTTGTTTTTGTGAACGTAAATCAAATTTTCTTAGATATATTGAGGGGCCAAAGTTAATATATTTATTTCTTTTAATTTTGCTCTAAGGGACTCTCTCGGTTAAGGGTTCTAAATAGCTCTTATGGCCCCCTTCTGCAAAACAAAAATAGTTTGTTTCAAAATCAAAATAGCAAAATCCCATATGACATTATGCTGTTAACTGAAATAATCTAGCTGTCTCGACACTGGTGATATTTCTAATCTTTTACAGCATAAGCTGCAAGGCTTAGTCTGCTTGCTAGTTTAGATATATGGAGGGCCCCACTGAAGCTTAGCGTTGAGAGTGATGCCAAGAAAAACACAGGATTTAACAAGACTCAGTTCTTCCCCATTTAAAAATACATTGGTAATCGGATTATTAACATTAACATTATGTAGTGGCGATGTAAGGATATCCACTACCCCATATCATTCCGTGGGTTACGTAAGAGGCGAATGAGGAGAACTGAACCAGAGCTGCAGCATATCCCTAAAAACGACTAAATCGTGTACTTTTATTTATTACCGACTGATTACTCATAGTCGCCAGCTCAATACTTTATACTGCTAGAACGAGTGGGAGATTAGTACAGTTCTACCCTCAATCCTTCGTATATTATCCTTTCACTGAGGCATTGTTTTATGTATATACATATACTGAAAAGTCGTCGTTGTTGGTAAAGGTGTTTTAATAGACATTTGCCATATTTAATTTAAGTCAAAGGTATAATCATAGAATACTATAATACATACATAATAGAACGGGGGAGTGGACGGAGCCCGCGTAGCCACTAAAATGTCACTAACACGTCAATTCACACGTATAACTGTCAACACGAGGTGTGTTTTGACGTTACAATCGTTTCCAAATTTCGCATGTCAATTATTAGAAAATGCCAAATTGCACCCCATTTACAAATAAATAGGTAATAAAATTTAAACGATTTTTTTAATGATGATCTTGAACATTAATCAAAAGTCTAAAATGTAAATTTATTCAGTCTGTAAACACAGCGAATCATGTTTGGCGACGCCCTTCCTCGTACAAAATAAAGTTGACAGCCATTCTATTGTGTATTATAGTATTCTATGGGTATAATAGTATACGTAGATCGGCGTCGGTAAAGCAGCATCACGGTTGCAGAACGGATATCAGGTCCTGCGATCATTAATCCGTCTGCGGAGTAAGGGAGGGAGGGATATTACAGCAAATACGTCGTTATCCGAAAGAGATCCATGTCAAGGAAGATACATGTGTGGTTGTAGCATTAAATCCCAAGCTTCTTGTATTTATGTAACATTAATAAAGTTATATATTTATTTTGTCTTAGGTTCCTTAATAGTGGTAGGATCGGCGTTGGTTGTGTGGCTGACGGACTGGCAGTACAAATACTACCTCGACCCGGCGCTCAGCATAGTTCTAGTCATCTTAATCCTCGTGTCAGTGTGGCCTCTGTTGAGGGAGTCCGCGCTCATTTTGTTGCAGACCGTACCCACACATATACAGGTGAGTCGGTTTAAATGAACTTTATTTTTGTGTTATCATAAGTTAAAACAGATTTTGACGGACAACTTTATGGCAAATAAATTTTTTAGTACCCGGATGACCGAGCTTTGCTCGGTTTTTTTTTGAAATTACATTAAATATACAAATTACATACTGATAAATAATATTTTTTGATCTTATTGACATAGTAGAAAAAACTGAACTGGTTATTTGAATAAAAAAATCATGAGTGCAATTAGTTTAATTAAAATGTTTCGTATTTTTAAAAAATACTAAATAAAAAGGGCTCGAAATAGTAGATTTTCTCACAAAAGAACGGAACTTGACAAAAAAAAAGGAAAAAAATAGCACCGAAGACAGGACGCGAACCAAGGAATTACGATTTCGCGACCGCTCGATATCCAATTGAGCTATTACATTAACACAGAGTCAAAATTTACCTTCTTATATTGTAGCAGTTTTTTATTGGCTGAAAACACGGACAAAAAGACATTTTCTAAAAAAATCCTAGCGAAATCGATTTATTACCCCCGAAAATCCCTAGACCAGGGATGGCGAACCTTTATGCGTATACGTGCCAATTTTCTGGAATAATATTTAATGACGTCGCAGCCGTGCCATCAAATATTCTTGACTTTGTGATCAGTGGAAAAATAATGTAAAAAAAAAATATCAACTCAAAGCTCTATATTTACCAAAAATACAATTACAAGAGCAATTAAAAATTAGTGCGACTTCTGTTGTTGCAGATTGGACGATAATTGACTTATATTGGGGTTGTACGATGTTACTTTTAGCAGAATGCATGCTGAACTTGATTCATCAGTCAGTCTATTTCTAACAGAGTCTTTGATGTTATTCATCTCTGAAAACAATGACTCGCAGGCATATGTTGATGAAAATACAGTTAGAATAGCGTGAGCCAGCTTCTTTAAACAATTAAATGTTTCTGGCAACGCATTCCAGGTTTCTAAAATTTTATTATTGGCATCTTTACTTATATTACTGGTCAATCTTTCTGTTTCAATTAACTCTAATTCTTTTCTCATGTCTATGAATTTTTGTATCCAAATTGAACTAGATTGGAAATCAATCAGCTGCATTTCAAAATCTTCAATTTCCAACCAATCGAACTGGGAGAAGTTCAGTGTATGAAAGGTCGTTACATCTGGGTACATAATAAACTTGACCGTTTCTGATAATTCTTTGAACTGAGAAAATCTTGTTGAAAATTCCTTAATTGAAGAATCAATCACAGAGATAAATTCCTCAGTAATATTTTCTGCATTTGTTGTCTCATGTATATCAGATTCATTGATATATTTTTTCAAGTATGGAAAATACTTGTAGTTTTTTGCGATAATATCGTTTCTGAAAACTTGCAGTTTAGCCTCAAAGGCGCGAATGAGATCGATCATGACGATTATTGTTTTGTTTGTGCCTTGAAGCTTCACATTTAACGTATTTAAGTGTTGGCATATGTCTGTAAAAAACATCAATTTTGAAAGCCACATGACGTCCAAAAGCTGTGGGTATTGTTCAATTTTTCCCTCATTTTGCAGAAACAGTCTGATTTCTTCCAAGCATTCAACAAATCTTTCAAGTACAGACCCACGACTCAGCCACCGAACATTATACATGAGTAAGCCATTATACACGGAGTTGACTTCATCCAACAAAGCGTCGAACTTTCGCTTGTTTAAAGCCTGAGCAGAGATGAGGTTGACTATTTTCGTAACTACTGCCATAACATTATCAAGAGATGTTAAACCACTCTTAGCGCATAAGGCTTGTTGGTGAATAATGCAGTGGAATTCAAGAATCGAATGTCCTACTTCAGTTTGAAATAAACTTATGAAACCAATTTTTTTACCCACCATACTCGGAGCACCATCAGTTGTTACAGAAACAACTTTTTTTATATCAATTTCTTTTTCAACTATCGAATTTTTAACTGCCGTACATATATCTGCGCCCTTTGTAGTTGTTGGTAACGATTTTATCGCAATTAATTCCTCCTTAATGACGTTTCCTACGCAGTATCGAGCAAAAACAGCTAAACGTGCAGATTTTGTGACGTCAGTGCTTTCGTCGAGGCATAGCGATATAAATGAAGCAGAGTGAATGTCAAGCTTTTGTTGCTCTGTAACATTTTCAGCCAATTTTAAGATTCTTTCCTTTATTGTGTTTCTGGACAAAGGAGTATCTTTGATGCGCTGAATTATCTTATTTTTATTCTCGAAATCAGCAAAAAGAGAAGGCGCGCATGCTAACCAGGCTTCCTTTAAAAACTCGCCTTCTTGAAAGGGTTTACTATGCCGAGCAATGACATTTGCAGCCGTGTAACTTGCCGCACTTGTATGACAATTTTTGCCAACAAATTTATTTATTGATGTTGACTGTTTGTTTCTGTCTTTCAAAGCACTCGCAATTAATTCCTTTTGCTCTGCTTCGCTTTTTTGACAAATTGATTTGTGATTTGTTTCAAAATGCCGTTTAACGGAAGATGTTCTACATACCATGGTGCCAGAACATAAAACACACACTGCTTTGTCACCTTTATTAATCACGCCGAATTTATCAGCCCACCAAGTCTGAAATTCTCTAGTATCTGTAGCAGCCAGATTAATCAAACCGAAACGGGAATAAATAATATATACTCCGCTGCTACCATAACGCGGAAGGCGAGAATAAATAAAAAAACATTTTATTTCCTAATTATTCTTGGCTACTGAGATACTGCGGACTGTATATAGATAATTTGACGTTCTTATAAAGAAACAAGAAGCAGCCGCAAATATCATTCAGCGCCACACCGACTTCACACGCCGCTATCGTCACGTATCCGTCGACCAATGGTGAGCCGTTTCTTCAACGCCGCAGTTCGGTTCCTCTTGCTGTTCCGGAGCTGTATTCCACACCGCCGCCGCCCGCCGACTACGCGTGCGCACCGATCTGCATGTCTTATATAGCCCGGTCCAGTGACGTAGCTTCGTGAACAACAAACAAGTCTCACGCCGGGAAACGAAACGTAGATAATTGTATATTTTAAATAGTTTTCATTGGTCATAAAATAAGCAATATAATTGGCTAGGCAAAATATTAATTGTTACCATTGGCAAATCAATAGTGAGCCAGCCATATAAATATAGGCAAGGTTGATGCAAAAGATATTCCATTCCGAATCCCATTCGACAGTACATTCTAAATTCATACTCCGCTTTGCTTATAAACAGTAGTTTCATTTCTCCACCTTAAAGAAAACCACTCGGAGTCTGTTAATAGTGGACAGCTCGTCTCCACTATTACAGTGGTGACCCCGTACGAACACCGAGGGGGAAGATCCGGTACGAACACCAAGAAGGAACACCCTGCGACGTACCACTACTATTGCACGAACACCGCGAAGGAAACCCGTACGAACACCGAGAAGGAAGACTTCAGTTTGTAGCGGGGCTGTCGCCGCCGCCACAAGCGAAAACACACCGAAGCCTAAATCGCGCTATCAACATTCCGAATCATAAACAGTATATATAGAACATCTCCGAACTATCACACGGAGTGTCGGCCGCTCCCCGGGCAGAACACCTTGCCCGGTGGGAGATCTCCCCTTTTCCCTCTACGGCCACAGTGGTGACCCCGACGTGATCTGAACACGCAACCGACAACCTTCGGAAACTTCAAGCTTCATCATCGTCATAGAATACCCCACCCATTCGCTCCCGAGCAGATATCGACTGCAGTCTTCATATCCTGCAAGCCATCTAGCTTCACAAGGTTCATCGCAGCATTGGAATAATAATGCTTCCTGTTCCTTCAAGCTACTCTCTGCGCTATACAGTGTTCGGCACGGCTCTGAGCCTTACTGCTCGCCTCTGCTTCACGGCACTCTCGCAGATTACTTGCCTTCCTCTCGACTCACCGCAGACTACAAGGCAATCTCCTGGCACTTGCACATTTATCGACAACTCGACTGCACTATCGACCTCCAGTCTGAGCAGGGGGGTGATGTAGCGGGGCTGTCGCCGCCGCCACAAGCGAAAACACACCGAAGCCTAAATCGCGCTATCAACATTCCGAATCATAAACAGTATATATAGAACATCTCCGAACTATCACACGGAGTGTCGGCCGCTCCCCGGGCAGAACACCTTGCCCGGGGAGCGGCCGACACTCCGTGTGATAGTTCGGAGATGTTCTATATATACTGTTTATGATTCGGAATGTTGATAGCGCGATTTAGGCTTCGGTGTGTTTTCGCTTGTGGCGGCGGCGACAGCCCCGCTACATCACCCCCTGCTCAATCTATATAAAATCAGTGTAATCAAGCCGTCATTATGGAGCAGGAGGCAAACACATATACATCAAACCCGGTAAAGGAACCAGAAATCGCCGGTATATCTCTATCGTTAAGAATACCACCGTTTTGGAGAGACAAACCACGACTTTGGTTCGTCAGTTTTGAAGCCGCAACGAATGATTTAAAGAAGAGCCAAACGCAATTAGCACAGATGGTGATAGCCCAACTTGAGAAACAAGACATCGAACAAATTGCGGACCTGTTGTACAACCCACCAGCAGTCGACCAGTATAATTCACTGAAGTATCGGCTGATCTCCGCATATGAAGAATCCGACAGTCGACAGCTACAAAAACTTCTATCAGAAATAGAACTTGGAGACCAGAAACCCACACAACTCCTACGCAAAATGCGTACTTTGGCGCGAGATAAAGTTCCGGATTCAACACTACGGCTAATGTGGGTAAACCACCTACCACCACATATTCGATCGGTAATAGCAGTCAGCGAAACATTCAGCACGCAGACGAAGCTCGACGAACTGGCACTCCTGGCGGACAAGATGATCGAAAACAGCAGTAGCTCACACATATCGATCATCGAAGGCACTTCAACAAAGGCCAATGATACCCAGTTTCTTCTCGAAGAAATTCGGAAGCTATCATTCGAAGTCGCCGCGCTCAAAGCTTCCCAGCATCAT